ATGGGTGGAAATAGCCCTGTCATCTGCTAACATACATTTCCCAGAGGCGCCTCATGTGAAGAAGTTGGTTATTGGTGCAGTATATCGACCCCCAGCCCTTACTCCATCAAGTATCAACACCTTCTGCAATTCCCTCCAGCACTGTCTAAGTACTCTTAAGAACCGAACAACATCTATCATGTTGATGGGAGACTTTAATGCTAAGTCATGTCATTGGCATGGAACTACCACGGATGCCGCTGGTCGCCAGCTTCACAGTCTATTCGGCATGTTCTCTCTCACGCAGCTCGTAAATTTTCCAACACATGAGTCATTGTCTGGCATGGGGGCAGCTCTCGACCTAGTTGTCACTGATATACCGGACTCTATATCCTGCCTCCGTGCTACAGCACCACTTGGTCAATCCGATCATTCTATCGTGGTTGGCCACATCCGTACTGTACCCTGCCCAGAAATGCCCACATACCGTTCTCGTGATGCCCGCTCGACTCCCCTGGATGTCCCTGATTTTAGTGTATTTTCTTTGGATTCTCTAGACAGCAACACTGTCGCGAGTATGAATACTGCCATGTCCCACATACATTGGCCAGCAGCTTTGAGCCTGGAGAGGCGCGACCCTGACATATCTGTGGACAACTTTTACTCTATCTTCCATAACATCTGTGCAAGATTTCTGCCCAGGCAGAAGCCGCCGGCTGTCAAGCGTATCCATATGAACCCCCCCTGGCTGACCAGTACCCTCCGACATCAAATAAAGAAAAAACGAGATTCGTATAGTGTTTACCGAAAGTTTCCCTCGGCTGACAACTTCGCTATTTACAGACGAGAACGAAACGTTACTCGCAATATGTCTCGAACTGCCCATCGACTGTACATCTCATCCCTAAGTGCATCCACGGCAAGACCCGCATCACCAAGTTTATTCCAGTTTGTCCGGAAGCTTCGATCTCCCCAAGGCAACAGCAGAACGACTGTAACTCAGCTCTCAGTCGCTGGTACTCTATATTCTGACCCTGTGGATGTGGCAGATGCTTTGAACGAACAGTTTATTGGTTTTGGAACACAAGATGATCCTTCATGGAATGTGCCAGACTTCAAGCCACCCGACGCCCCATCACGTGGAAGAACTACACCTACGTTGCAAGATGTCACCACCACGCCTTCTGCTGTGGCAAAGCAAATCCGCAACCTTAAGACCCGAAAGGCTGCGGGAGCGGACGGTATTTCTCATGAACTCCTGAAACTATTTTGTTCCAGTATTGCATACCCTCTCAGCCTCATCTTTAACCTCACTTTTGCAACTGGTGCTTTCCCTGCTATTTGGAAACACGCAATTGTAACTCCGGTCTTTAAGAACAAGGGAAGTAAGCTCGATGCATCGAATTACCGCCCGATTTCGTTATTGTCAACAATCTCCAAGCTGTGTGAACGTATTATGTACAACCACTTATACACTTACCTGTCTCCTGTTCTACATCCGTCCCAGTCTGGATTCCGAAAAGGCGACTCTACGTCCTGGCAGCTTCTCAGACTTGTTCAATCGATGTCTTCTGTTCGTGAGAACGGCCATTACAGCATGCTATGTTTCTTTGATCTAAGCAAGGCCTTCAACACCGTATGGACACGCGGGCTCCTATACAAGCTGTCGCGCCATGGAATCCATGGTACTTGCTTCACGTGGCTCAGTACTTACCTGACGGGCAGACAGCAAAGGGTGCGTGTCGGCTCTGCTCTGTCTGCCAAAGGGCATGTACGGTCTGGAGTTCCTCAGGGATCAATCCTGGGGCCTCTCCTCTTCCTTATGTATGTAAACGATCTGGCAGAAATGGATCACACATCACTATATGCTGATGATACAGCACTACTTGTGACAGCACCCACTCTCCCCGAGGCTAGTGCCAAGTTACAGTCTAACATAGATGGCGTTATTCATTGGATGGAAAATGGAAATTGCAACCCAACTCTTCGAAAACTGCTGTAATGTGTATCCCCCCCCAGTTGTTCCTGTGACCTATCTTCATTAGTAACCAGTCCCTTCACCTTTCCAGGCACCACAACCCCGCTCTGCATCGTTGAAAAACACAAGCATGTTGGCGTCATTATTGACCAACACTTAACCTGGAAATCCCAGATCGAAAATTTAGACAGCCGTGTTAGCTCATTAATGGGATTTCTCTCATCACACATCACCCACCTGCACACCGACTGTCGCCATGTTATCTACACATCTTACATTCTGCCTATTTTTGATTACTGCTGCATAATTTGGGCTGGCATTTCTAAAACACTGATTGCTCGACTCGAAGTTATGCATAGGCGTCTTTTGAAAATATTATTTCGGCTTCCTCGCCTGACTCCAAGCGCAGACTTATACCGCCTTGCTTCTGCTGTGCCGCTCTCGGTCCGCGTGCGTTTTTTGGCATGCCAGACAATTCATAAAATTAAGCTGGGCATTGCTCCTCTTCATGCTCTCTCCTGCCTAAGCTGGTTTGCTCAATCTCAAGACATGCGCACCAAAAACTCTCTCCGCTTCCCTATTGCGCGGTCTGCCTCTATGCAAACATCTCCTCTCTTCCTTGCTTACCGCCATTGGTCTCTCCTCCCACAACATCAAAAATCCAGCCAATGTTACAATACATTCACACAGCTACTGCAGAATGCAACATACTAGTTGATATCCAGCCCTGCCCTAGCTTCTTTTGCTTTTCAGTTCCCCTTTCATTCTTTTTCTTTCCCCCCCCCCTCTAGCTGTATTACCGCCATGGCTGGCTATCGCCCACATCACCATTTCATTGGCTAGTGCCACGTGATTGTGAATAAATAATAATAATAATAAAACATTACACAAACGTGTAAACATTACACGGTCAATGAAATCCGATAAAAGCTCCGTGGTAGCGAGGTCTGACTGTATATCAACCAGCCTTCTATTGTCAAAAATTCAAAATTCTTCAACGTTGTGGAGTGATTGCAACATTTTCGCTGCTTGTCTATTGTTCTTCATTGATCTGCTCACCTCTGTAGACAAAATGGAGACCTCCTCGATAGGCTTAGCGGCCTCTGGGGAATCCTTGAAATATATTTAAAATCCAAAATTCTCTCCGTCCTTCATTGTTTTTTCTTTCTTTCGGTGAAATGTCTGTTCGGCGAATTGGCTGCTCGGTGAACTGTCATTCTGTGAGTTGTGCATTCTGTGAAATGGGCATTCTGTGAACTGGGTATTCGGTGAGCTGTCGTTCGGTGAGCTGTCGCTCGGTGAACTGTCGCTCGGTGAACTGTTCTTCGGTGATATGTCGGGATACCGTGTCGGATAGGAGTCCACCGCCAACTGCGAGGCACATTTGGTTAAAAATTTATTCTTAGACTTAAAATAGACATTCAACGGAGGCGACAGCCTGTGCAGCTGGAACACACCCTTTACCCTCCGTTGTAAGTTATGCTGCACTGAACAGCTGTACATTGATGACTCTGTTTCAAGCTGCCTCCACCAGCCTTGTTTGTAGACTGAAAATATGTGTGCATGTACATGACTGCCATTTACCAAGTCTAGTGCATTTTCATATCCTATCGGCGTCCCATACACGTCCATATACATGTATTTATTATGCGACGCTTCGGCCATTACATTTTGGCAGAAGTGTGGAGAGGGCAAACAATGTAGCCATCGATTTGCGTTTCACAGGGGACAATACGCCGTGAGAATGTATCAAAGCTAATGCGTTCACCGAATCTCCGCCTGACTTTGTTCACGACCCCTGTAACAAGACCATTGACTCATGCGGGGAGTGTTTCTAACAGCTAATTGAATAGGATATTTATAAACATTGTTGTGGCTCCCATTCAAAATGAATCTTGACGAACATCGGCTATGATCCTGCCTGGGAAAACTCGAGATAATATTATTGAAAGAAAATCTGTAATAAAAATAAGGCCCGAGTAACTACAAGTTACGCTATAATGTAAACTAATTACTTGACCATCAGCTCATGCAATAACATTGCACAAAAACTTACCTACATTACTGATATTACTGATGTTGCACAAATATTACTATAGTCGCCCACCGTATAGGCGATCCTGACTGTAACTGGCTATCAGCTCTAGCATGCCTTGCGTGCGCCCTTCAATAGTCATGCCCTGGTTGAGTTGTATTTGCTATGTGGGTGCAGATCTGCTTCGAAGGCCCTATTTGTAAATTAAAGTATTATCTAGCAGGGGAAGATATTAATCCCCATCCCTCTCCACTTTGAGAGTTAGCGGCTACAGTGTGTTTTTCGTCTAGAGGGCTAACGAAAATTGTCTTTTGCAGTTTAGGCGGTGTTTACATGAGGCGTTTCAACCCGGGTCGAGTTCGACCCGGGTCAGTTTTCAACCCGCCATGGGCATAAAATGAATGGCGCGTTTACATCAGGGAGTAGTACAATACCGGGAGGTGACACGGGCACACATCCGGGATTACGAGCTTTGCCTCACAAAAAAAATACAAACCGCGCGAAAATTCAAATTTTTGCTCTTTTGACAGCGCTGAGAAACCTTCAAATAGTGACGAGAAGACCAGACGTATCCCTTCGTGACAAGCTGCCACTTGTTCTTTTCAGGTCGAGCCTTTTTTGGGAGCTACTCTGGTACATCGTCCACACTGCTGCCAAGTCTCGACTTCCCAAAATGGATGGAAGTGACGAATATGGAGGACGCTATCCTAGGTAAGTAACGTGATGGAATTTTCTCATCTTGACATGGTGTAACACGAACCTGAATTTCTCATTTGGACCCACTCGGACACCTCATCAAGTTGGGATATTTCGAAAGTATACCTATTTGTCTACCATTCTACTTCATCTCAACGTGTTAGCTTATGTAAATCCTTGGAAAACTCATTCTGAAAATTTTGAAACTTATTTATTTGTATAGACTTGAACATAATGTTCAAGATCACTTGTTTTCAGCACTGAATGAGGCCAGGCCTGCTTGCTTTGTTGCTTTTTTAACCCCCAGAACCCGTGGACAGAAAAGGAAGAGCGACGACTTGGGTGCGGCTGCGAAGTCTGCCTGCCCAACGCCAATTGCTCCTCACCCAAAAAGTAAACAAATTATATAGCAGGAGTGGTTTCCAGTGGTTTCAATGCATTTTGTTTTGGGGATGTTGGTGTGTACTTATGCAGTCCTAGCCTATTGAGCAATAGCAATCATGAGAAGGGTATAATTCTGCAATACAACATTGTTGATTATAAATATGACACTGAAGCAATACTGAAACTACGTTTTGGGGTTGTATTTGTTTTCATGCGTGTTCTACAGCGCACCCCATTGACGAAGATCATCCTTGTATAGACGATGATAAATACTCTCATCTGACAAGGTTAGTTGCACAGTTCTACCATATGTGTAAGGTGGACGTCGGATATAACATGGCTAATCTCTTTTTGGTATGCCATCTACTGCACAGAACACGTCATCAGAAGTCACTGCCTGCGGCGAATAACAGCGCATCGTGTATGACAATCTCTTCACCAACAAGTCCTACCCGTAAGTCAGACAGCAGAGTACAGTCATTCAATAATAGCCAAGTAAGCCCATGCTTTATATGCTTATATGACAATAAGCTGATGGAGGAAAAACAGATCCAATTACATAAAAGTACGCCCAAAAAAGCAACGGCCAAACACGCACACACCAGAACAATTTCAATGCTCTTCATGCACACCAACTAGGCTTATAAATCTGCACAGTGTACGTAAATGAAATATCTTATCCGCAGATCGCATCTGACTTGTTTGATAAAACCTGCAGCAAAACAAAAGCACAACACAGACATATCGATGAAGCCTGTGTGGTTTTATGTTTGTTCTGATTCATACAGCCTCTTGTCCATCGTCACATGAAGAACATAGACAGCCGCAAGCTGAAAATGATTTCTCAACAGCAGAGAAGAACGATACTATCACGTTCACACCCTTGAACTGGAAAGGCACGGACAATCCATGTGACCGTGAGATTGTAATTTATGCTGTACTGAAGACCTTATTTGACTGGGACAGCCAGTACCGAGCCAGGACTGCTGGCAATGCTAAATTTTCTCGTGCTGTCAAGATAGTAAACTTAATTTTGCCTGCCAGCAATAGAATTGCTGCACCTTCGCTAACAAGTTATTTAGGCCGCGCGGCATCACGCACTCCTGGTGTTAGCTTAGGAAAATACAAAGGAAAGGTTCGCTGGGTACGCTTTTCCTCAGTTGTAGAAAGGCTACTGCTGTCATGTGCAGATGACATGAAAAATGCTGCAGCGGACATGCTGACTTACGAGCAAAGGCAACATGTGCTGGAATGTGCCCAGCTCTACACTGCAGAGTGGATTACTGAGAGGGAGTCTTCACCACCACCACAGCAACCCTTTGAGGTGTCTTCGGCACTCAAGGCATTGAATTTCCCTTCTTGGAGATACCAAAAGGAGCAGGGCCAAGATGCGTTGTGGATGTTTGGCGACACAACAGGTCGGCATGCGATCCGGTCCATTCTCTTCTTGCCGGACGGATCTTTCACCACCTATTACTTACATAGAGAATTTAAAATACCTTCCCTTCCTCGCTTCATCACGTCAATGGAGCAGCTCTCAGCTGCACTTCTTGCAGTACAAGATGCCAGTATCTGCAGTGGTGTTTCATACAATAAGTACTGCCCTCTCATAGAGAAGCGAGCAGATGGGGGGAAGTTCCTTTCTAAAGAGGGGGAGTTATCAGCATATGCTGAAGAAGAATGGGTGCCATCCAGGTGCATAAGGTCGAGTAAGTGTTCTATAGTAATGGAGTCAGCACGACTTTGCTGCTCTGCCTGCAAGGCATCTGACAGCACACTTCGGAGTGAACTGTCGAGATTGCAGAATCGCGGAGACAGTATAAGCAAATTCACACCCCGCACTCACCTTTCGCGTGATGGCTTGCTGATTACCTCGCGCCGTCAATCAGACCAGTGTCGGTCACTGCAGAGAAAGAGTCCACAAATAGAAGAATACAGGAAGCAGATGGTCACTTTAAAAAAATGGTGGTGAATATCAGGGACTGTTCTCACACTTGCAGTCTAGGATTAAGCAGTTAGAGGAGAAGGCAGAAACACCTTTATGTCAGTGGCACGACTGTGATGAGCTCTTTGACTCAATTGAGGAGCTATACAATCATGTCCTCTTCACGCATGTAGCCATTGACAGCTCGTCAACACAGCTTTTCCCTACTTACACTTGCAAGTGGCAGGGATGCAACAAGTCACCATTTCGAAATCGGAGTGCTTATAAAACGCATATCAAAGTGCATACGGGCAGGCAAGAGGATATCTTGTTTAAGCATCTATTGATAGACCAAGCAAAAGCCTTAACCGTTTCTCCCAATCAGATGCGGTGGCATCCCACAGTGTTGCGCTGGTCCCTGCAACAGCATGCCCGATCTGCCACTGGCTACGAGGCAATGCGCCAAAGTGGAATGCTTCGTTTACCGTCTGGGCGTACTTTACTCCGGTATCGAAATTTCAACCACCCTGAAACTGGCTGGCACACTTCTACCCTCAGTGATATGAGGCGCCTTTTTGATGAATTCCTTGCCAAGGGCAAAGGAAAGGCCGACCGCAGCCACATGGGGGGACTCTACTTTGACGAGGTCAAAATTAAGGAGGGCCTCATTTGGGATCCAAGGACGGATGAACTGATAGGATTTGTTGATTTACCGAGTGAATCTCAATCGACAGTTGGTGATACACCATATAGTGGAATTCATTCCCATGTGGCTACACATATCATGCAGTTTCATTTCCGCTCCCTCTTCTCCTCCTTCTATTACCCGTGTGCTTACTTTCTCACCCGGGCTGTAACCTCAGCGCAGCTCAATGACATGTTTTGGAGTGGGGTGAAGGAGTTGTACAAGAAGGGGTTTCATGTGTGCTTGGCTTGCAGCGATGGCGCAGCAAGCAACAGGACATTCTTCAGAATGAATGCAACTGTTGATGGGGACTTCCCTTTTATGACAAGGAACCCGTATACACAGCAACCGATCTTTTTCATTTCTGATCCCACCCATATTGTAAAGAAGATGCGCAACAGCCTCTTTGGCAGTGGGACATCGTCATTCTCCACCCGCTTTATGGAGTATGCTGGGCAGCCCATTGTCTGGGACCAGGTCAGGGCGTGCTTTGCACGGGATAGCCAGCGTCACTTGAGGTACACACCCCTCCGCCAAGAGCACATTAATCTTACATCATTCTCTAAGATGCGGAGTCGTCTTGCTTTTGACGTATTCCACCCTCTTGTTATCAAAGAAATGGAACTTTCCGAAAAATCTGCCACCGAGGGAATACGTCTCTTCCTTACGAAAATGGCCGCTATTATCAGGCTATTTGTATCGCACGAGCGGATTTATGATTGCAAGAAAGATGATATGAAGGATTTCATTAGTAGTGCCCAATGGTTCCGAAACTGGAAACAGCAGCTCGACATTGAGTATCCTAATAAAACTGAGGCCAGTCGCCACTTCATCACAGCACAGCTGTATGAAGACTTGTTAACGACCGCTAACGCTTTCAATGCCTTGGGCGAGTGGCTGGCCACCCAGACCCTGTCCCCACCTGTCTACGTTCAGCCCTATAGAATTAACCAGGATTTTGTTGAGCAGTATTTTGGGATGCAGCGTAGTGCCGGTGGCTGCAACCAAAACATGACTGCGTACAGTTATGGTTATTCTGCAAAAGCACATGCTCTAACCACTGTCACTACCTCCAACTTGGGCAAGGATGCTATCCACATGCCCTTAAAGTGACGCTGCTGAATGCCTTGCTATGTATTACTTTCAATCTTATTTCTTTTTGGGTCTAAGTTATATATCATAAAAGCTGGCGGGCTTAAGCAATCTATTTATTTACGGATTTTTTAAAATGAGTGTCTATTATCAATTTACAGTTCAACATTAAGACACTGCAAGCTAATTCCCTATGAAGTTCAATTGTTACTTACCTGGGTTGAGGGGTACGCATGTGAAGATGGAAGTGGCTCTTTCTATAATGACTTTCTTAACTCCACCAACTGGCTTGTTAAACAGCCGGAGCAGGGCTTTGATGTCGTGTACGGATAGGTCGCACAGTAAAGAAGGAGGTAGCAGGGGTATACTCTCCTTGTTTCCATTTTGAATAAATGTCCGGAGGGCAGTGAGCTGGTCCTTCCTTGATGAGTCAACAACTTGCTTAGTTGACGTTCGCAACCCAGCCCGTAGAGCCATGGACGAGTTTGAGGGCGTTAGCTGATTCGTAGAATTTGTTTTTGTTTGCTTTTGACAAACATATCAACAATTTCCTTAAGAATGACGAAGTCGACATCTTCAGTGTTGCCGACCACAGACCTGGAGACAACAGTTGTACAGATCAGAAAAAGTGACATATAAGTTTGAGGGCATTGAAGCGTAGTATGTATTATCCAAGTACGGTAGTTAAATTGCAACTCGGAACTGCAGAGATAATCATGGCATTTAAAAGAGTGCTCAATCTCCAGATAAAGAGCGTAAAAAGTTGGCTTATACATGCATTAACGTTATGATGTCAGGCATTTTTCTAACCACACGTGTACAGTGCCTGTGAAATAGACGTATTGCAAGAAGCGCACCTGTAAAGTGACCTGGTGTCCTTGTCAGCCCATAAAGACTGCTTCAGGTCAATGAGCGCATCCTTTCCTTTCTCCAGCAAACTGCAAGCAAGTCTAGCCTCACATTGAGAATGCAGCCGCTGGAAAAAGGGAAGTGCGGTGTCATTCAAATCGAATACGTGCCGCTTGAAAGACGAGTCAGCAGTATCATCATCATCACTGTTGCTGCTATCGGCAGCAGCATGCTCGTCTCCGTGCTTAACATTGCCCGTCACCATCAGATCTGTCCCGAACTTCGGAATTATCCGGAGCAGATCTTCAGGCGCGTTGCTTCTGACAAGTTTTCTGCGCACTGCTACTATGCACCACCCCCCGTGGTACTTCACAACCGAGTTAGCCGTCTGATCCATGGTGCGGCGAGCAACCTCCATGTGCATAGGGTTGCTCGGAGCTGTGGCTGCTGACGCAGGCTTCCTATTCATAGTGAAATCAAGAAGAAGGGCAAATAGTGCACCGGACACTCTGACACCTGTAAAAAACACCAATCCACGCACACACACACACACACACACACACACACACACACACACACACAAACACGCACTGTCTATGAAAAAAACACTTCAAAGTACAATTTGGTACAATAAATCTCTACAGCGCAATAGGAACAGAAAATGACCAGTATGATGATGACATTACCTGTACTTGCAGAACTGGTGTCTAGCTCTTGGAAAATGGTTGACGAATTGCGAAGTAAATCAGTCCACACATTTGAGACATTCGTGCAGTCTCCTCTCCTTAATTTTCCTAAGGCCTTGTTCTTGAAAAACAACGTCTGCTGCTGCTCACAATTTATTATTGCCT